TTAGAAATGTTTGTGGTAACTTAGCGTTTGTTTCACAAATTGAACCAAAATCGTTTTTAGAAGCTGAAAATGATGAAAATTGGATTATAGCAATGCAAGAAGAATTAAATCAATTTGAAAGGAATAAAGTTTGGTTTTTGACCCATCGACCTAAGGATCATCCCATTATTGGTACAAAGTGAGTTTTTCGAAATAAAATGAATGAATCTGAAGTTGTTACTAGAAATAAAGCTAGATTAGTAACCCAACGTTATAATCAAGAAGAAGGCATTGATTTTGATGAAACTTTTGCACCGGTTGCTAGACTTGAAGCTATTAAAATATTACTTGTTTTTTGCATGTTTTAAAGATTTCAAATTGTATCAAATGGATGTTAAAAGTGCTTTTCTAAATGGGTACATTTCAGAGGAAGTTTATGTTGAACAACCTCCCGGTTTTGAAAGTCTTAAATACCCGGATCATGTTTTCAAACTCTCAAAAGCTTTATATGGCCTGAAACAAGCTCTTAAAGCATGGTATGAAAGATTAAGTAATTTTCTACTTGACAAAGGTTTTTCTAGAGAAAAAATTGATACAACACTCTTTATAAAAATCAAAAAGAAAGATATGCTAATTGTTCAAATTTATGTTGATGATATTACTTTTGGTGTTACTAATGAAAATTTATGCGAAGAGCTTGCTAAAGATATACAGGGTAAATTTGAAATGAGTATGATGGGGCAATTAAATTACTTCCTTGGTTTACAAATTAAATAAACTAATGATGAAATCCATTTAAATCAAACAAAATATATCAAGGATCTACTCAAAAGGTTTGAAATAGAATCATCAAAGCCTGCAGCAACTCCAATGAGCACACCAATAAAAATCGACAAAGATGAGCAAGGTAAACCTGTAAATAAAAAGAAATATTGAGGTATGATTGGTTCCCTATTCTATCTTACTGCAAATAGACCCGATATAATGTTTAGTGTTTATATGTGTGCACGCTTTCAATCCGCACCGAAAGAGTCACACATCACCGCAGTCAAACGAATTTTCAGATATCTTGTTGGAACTCCAAATTTGGGATTATGGTATCCTAAGGGAACCATTTTTGAACTTTTTGGTTACTCAGATACCGACTTTGCGGGATGTAGACTTGACCAAAAAAGCACTAGTGGCACTTGTCATTTTCTTTGACACTCACTCACTTCTTGGTTTTGCAAAAAACAAAAATCAGTGGTTCTGTCAATTGTTAAAGCAGAATACATTGCCGCTGCTGGATGTTGTGCACAATTGCTTTAGATGAAGCAATAACTTCAAGATTTTGGACTTTACTATGATCATATTCTTATAAAATGTGACAACACAAGTATCATTAACTTTTCAAAAAATCCTATTCAGCACTCACGCACTAAACACATTGAAATAAGGCATCATTTTCTAAGAGATCATGTGCTCAAAGGTGATATTGAACTCGAATTTGTGCTTACAAATCGTCAATTAGTTGACATATTTACCAAGCCTCTAAATGAAGAATAATTTTGTTATATTAGAACAGAACTTGGTATAATGAATACTCCAATATAATGTTTATATTAAAAATAAAAATAAAAATAAAAATAAAAATTAATTATATACATATATATTCTCTGTCTCTCTCTCTCTTTCTGTCTCTCTCATCCACTCCGTTTCTCTCGCATCCGCTCTCTCTCTCACTCTCTATTTTCTCTTTCTCTCGCTTTGTCGCTCTCCCTTTCTTCTTCTCATCCTCAGCCGATTCCATCTTCATCCTCACCATCGTCTACAACCAGCCCTATCATCCACAACATCATCTATCATCTACCCAAATCCTTCACCAATTTACCGAGCTCTATCACTTCTCTACCCAAAATCTGCATCACCATCTTTACCACACTACAAGAAAAGTGGGCTTAAAATATGGAACTTTTTGCAACGGCATATTTGCCATCGCAAAAAATGACTTTTTGCGACGGCACACCTCGCCGTCGCAAAAAATGTGACCTTTTGAGATGGCACAGCTTGCCGTCGCAAAAAATGTGATCTTTTGAGACGGTACAGCTTGCCGTCGCAAAAAATGTGACCTTTTGAGACAGCACAACTTGCCGTCGCAAAAAAAATGTGACCTTTTGAGACGGCACAACTTGCTGTCGCAAAAAATAGAGGCTCCGTTTGGTAAGCATCTCAAAATATAGTTTCACCCATTGATTTGAGTATATTGTTTGTTTGGAGTTTTCAAATCATAATTCTACAACCATTTCTCAAAACTCAATTCAAAACATAATCATTACTTTTCAAAACTCATAACCAAACATATAATTCAAAACTCTTTCCAAAACTCAATTCAAATCAATATTTAAATATTTAAAAAAATTTAATTTTGTTAAGATTTTAAATATTTAAATATTTAAATATGAGCTAAAACAAGCTAGGTAAACATGCTACAACATAAGCCATTTATGCAAGCATTAAAGACAACAAGGAGAGGGGATGCCGTTCTCCTATTTAGGACCTCAAAACCACCTCTCCACCGCTGAAAATCCCCTATTTAGAGAGGTCATGTAAAGACCAAAACAATTTTAATTTTTTTATTATGTATTTGGTTACGATTTGAGTGTAGAGTTGTGAAAGTAGTATAGAGTTTCGAGTTATGTGTTTGGTTATGTGTTTTAAAAATAATTTCTTAGTTGAGTTTTGTTTTATATGTTTGATTACGATTTGAGTGTAGAGTTGTTTTTAAATTTAAAATACTAACATTTTAAATTATTTAAATTTTTTGAATATTTAAATTATTTAAATTTTTATTATTTAAATTTTTTGAATATTTTTTTTTAATTTTTTAGATTATTTAAATATTTATGATTTAAATTTTTTGAATATTTATTTTGAATTTTTTTTCCTTTGTAGTATTTCAATTAAAAAATTGATTAATGTTATTTTCTGTTAATAATAATTTTTTTTAATTGAATTTTAAAAAGAGTTTGGTTATGAGTGTTGATCAGAATTTTCAATAGTGTGAAAGTAGTGTATTTTGTTATGAGTTATAAACTTTGTATGCCTGTCTCTTTCTTTCTCTCTGTGTCTTTGTCTCTTTTTTTTTTCTCTCTCTCACTCATCACGCTTCTCTGTTTGTGTATCTGTCTCTCTCTCTTTCTCTCTGTGTCTCTCGTCCATCTCTCTTTTGTCTATCTCTCTTCTCTCTATGTCTCTCTTCTCTTTATCTCTCTCATTCATCTCTCCCGTCTCTCTCTCGTTTATCTCTTTTCGCTCTTTTTTGTTCTCTCTCTCTCTCTCTTTGTCTATATCTTTTCACCCATTTTTTCATCTTCCTCTCTCTCTTCTCTTTCTCTCTCTCACTCATCTATCTCTTTTCTCATCTCTTTTCTCTCCATGTCTCTTTCGTTCATCTCTCTTATCTCTATCTCTCTCATTTCTCTCTCTATCTCTCTTCTTTCTCTCTCTCTCTCTCTGTCTCTCTCGTTCACCTCTCTTCTCTTTATGTCTCTCTCGCTCATCTCTCTCTCTCGTTCATCTTTCTTCTCTCTCTGTCTCTTTTTCTATCTCTCACTCTCTATCTCTTTATCTTTTTGTTTCTCTCTCCCTCTCTTTCTTTTCTCTTTCTCTCTCTCTCTCTCTCTTTCTCTCTCTCTCTCTCCCCCTCACTATGTTCGCGTTGCTTACTTTCTACCTTCCATCTTCTCTATTTACTGAGCTCCCTCTCGATTTATCTATCCACTACAAGAAAATACACTTTTAGCGACCACTTTGTCTCTCTCGTGCTCATCACTCTGTCTCTGTCTCTGTCTCTCTCCTCTATCTGTCTCTCACTCATCTCTCTCTCTCTCTCTCGCCACTCATCTCCTTTACCACCTTCACTACTACTGCAAACGCCATTCCACTACTACCATTACTACCACTGTCGCCACTTCACCTCTACGACTGCCATTATTACTACCATTGCCACCACTCCACTACTGCCACTACTACTACCATTACCTCTCCTTCACCCCTGCCACTCCATCTACTCTACCACTACCACAACTTCACCACTAATCTCCTTTGCCATCACCACCACCACCACCATCATCTCTTATCCACCACCTTCGCCACTACTGTCGCTCCCTCTCATCTACCACAAAAAATTAGTTCATGATTTTTAATAACAAAAAAAAATAGGCCGCAGAAAAATATTTTTCATTGACCACAAAAAATTAACTTTTATATTAGTGAAAAATATTTTTCATTAAAATATTACCCCTGCTTCTACCAAATAAATAATAATAAATTTTTTTTTTATTAAAATAAAACTGAAACAAATAAATTTTCAATCTTAGTAACTAAAAAAAAAGAATTTTTTTTTTAAAAATTCGTTAACTACAAAAATATATATATTTTAACAAAAAATAATTTTTTTTGACAATGGCAACCCTCGTCGCAAAAAAAAAAAAAAGAGTTAAACGGCGTTATTTTATTATTTAAATTTCATTTATGACCCAAAAAAAATTATTATTTTTTATTTTTTATTCCCGGCCCTTTTTTATTTTTATTCCCCTCCCCCCAAAACAAAAAATCTCCAATCTCAAACCCAAAAATCCCTAATCTCTTCTTACCCCCCTCTCTCTCTCTCTCGATCGACGGCGAGCGATGGAGAAGCAGTGTCGTCAGCGGAGGAGCAGCGTTGGAGCAGCAGCAGATCTTCCGATGTTTCTTGGCCTTACCAAGTCCTACCATGTCACTCCTTCTCGTCTCCGCCTCACCTACAAAGATGTATGGCTCAGATCTTCCGATGTAGTTCACCTTCATGCCTGGTTCATCAAGCTCTTCCCTGACTGCCGAGGTCTCTCTCTCTCTCTCTCTCTATATATATATATATATATATATATGTATTGATTTGATTAGTTCGCCTTCACACCTGTTACTACAACGTTTACTTCTTGGGGAAATCTATTTTGTAGGCACATAAAGTTAGGATTTTTTTTAATTTTTTTTTTGGTAGTGAAAATTTAGAAATATTTGTGCCTTGCAAGGATGAACTTTATTATCTGTTTATGTCTCATTGTTGTGCTCTAACCTTTTGCTTACTATCACATGAAAGACACATACAACAAAAAGGGTGGTTGGGGTTTGGATACAAAAAGAGAAGCTGAATTTAAATGCATCGAAGTGTAGAATTACCTTTCTGATCCTCCATTAAAGCTGTGCAGAGAGAGATACACAAACTACCACAAAAGGTTAGTAAAACACATCATGTGTTGTGATATCTTCCATTCGTATATTAAAGGAGAAATTGAAAATCAATGGCATTATTTTTGGTACAACACATAGAAAGGACTTTTGCCATGCAAGCAAAAAATTTGCACCACCATGAAAATGCAAAAAATTTTTTACTGTCCCATTGATTTGTAATTTTCCCTATATTAAATGAAGATTCCCTCTTTGTCATAGTGCTCTCTGTGCCTGTCTTCATCTCAAAATCATATAGTTTGTATCCTCCACAAGTGAAAGTCTGCCCAAATTTGCAGCTTTGCTAATGGAAGTTGTATTTGTTTTTGGTTAATTACATTTAGCACCCTTTGACTTTAACCATTTTATTTTATTTTTTGATTTTCACAATTGAAAATGGAGTGAGCAAAGTGAAATTTTGACGAAAATGCCAAAGGTGAAAATAACCGTTGTTTTTATCCGTGTGAATTTTGGTTTGTAGAAGATTTACGGATCAAAAAGAAAGAGAAAGGGAAATTAAAAAATATATATATATATATATACTTAGTGGCGGTTCTAGAAATTTTGTTCAATGAGATGATTCATATTTCCCTCCCTCAAGGTGAAGTCCAACAAACCAACTACTATTGAGTGAAATTATTCCTAAAAACTATGTTCTAGTTCAACTCAGTTTAATTTTTAAATTTATTTATTTATTTTTGTCAATTTCAAAGAACTAAACTTGAATTTGTGTGTGTGTGTATACATATTGGTTTGCATACTAGATTGACTACAAAATAGTAAACAAAAAAGATTAAATTGATCTCAAATGGTAAACAAGAAGTATAGATTGTCATAAATTTTTTTTTTTACATACTTTTCATTCAACTTGATGTGATCATATGAGAAATCCTATAAAAAACTAGATACATTATATGTATTCAGTTAGTTGTTTTGAATTTGATTGGGGTCAACTAAACCCCATACTCCAACGTATCAATCTCATCTCTCTCACCCTCTAGCTTTATTGCTTGACCAATAGAATCATGATTGTCATATTTGTCACCATGTTTGTCCTCTACGATTAAAACATGTACCTGTTTTTTTAATGCTTGTACACCTAATACTAATCTCGTACAATGTTTTTCTAAGTATACTCTCTGCAAAACAATTGTGTTTTGACTTTGATGTCATTTACAAAATTAAATAAAACTTGAAGAAATTGTGTGCATTTGTTTTTTAATTGTGTGCTTTGTGAAGAAAAGGAGGAAAATATTGATATGCTTGAACTGTGTTTGTTGTAAAAAAAATTCAAAATGTACTACACAAAGTCTTAAAAGCTAACATGCTGACGATTTCAAGAGGTCACCTTTTTAAGCTGTGATTTGTGAAGGAAAAAAGAAGATATAAAGAGAGATATAGCTTTTCCTTCATTTTTTCACAATATTCCAACACAACCCTGACATGTTATCCCCACCAAAACACACACAAAAGAAACAAGTTGGTGAATTCCAGAATTCTAAGTTCAATTCCATGTGATAATATCGTATGGGATTCAATTTTAATGAATAGAATTTTTGTTATATGAATTTAACTGGTATGTCTAAATGGTTTAGTATCATGGAGTATCTTGTGTTTCTTCATGCTGTAATGCCATAAATTATTTCTTCATGCTGTAATGCCATAAAAGAAATTTAAAATAAACTCACATTAATTACTGGTGTGAATGTCTTTTGCTGCATTGCCACATGAATTAGGATTAGGGGACGTGTCTTTGCTATAGTCAAGGGAGGACAACTAAAGAGATATGCAGTTAACAAAGAGGTTTTGTTATTTGGAGGGCGCTAAATTGTAACATGAAGGCATGGTGGGTTATCTAATAAATGACAAGTATGGTTTGCCACGTTTCAGATAGTTCACACCATGCTTGACTTGTAACTTGTTAGATGGCCCATTATGCTTATATGTAGCAATTTAGAGTAATGCTAGATATGCTTAGGCCTTGTTTGGGAAGTTGGCCATTTCAGTATGCTAAAAATTTTGTATTTGGAAAGATGGTTGGATTTTTTTGTAGTTAAATATGATATTTGTGAGAGAAAAAGTAAAATGATTATGGGTTTGATTATGCCATTTTAGATTACTTGTAATTTTTTTCAACTTAGGAATGTGCCTGAATTCATCTAAAATTAAGTGGAATAGGTTTGAATTTTCCACAGTGGTGGAGGTTGTGCCTCTTTGAGTTGGTTCAAACCATGGTTGTTTTGTTGTGGTTATGCCTCTAATTAGGTTGCTTCAAGCCATGATTGTTTAGTTTGGTTGTCAGGTGGCATGAGAGGTGTCACACTCTTCATGGTTTTCATGAAAATATTGTTGGCTTTAGAATTTCATTCTTAATTTTTTTGTAATACAATTCCAAAATGATGTAGCCATGGCTAGAACTCTATTTTTGCGTAGATAACCTACTCTACTACACACTTAATTTAATTAATTAAAAAAGTTGTGAGTGGGTTTACTAAATCCTGTAGTAACTAAACACACGCGATGCGACTTCATCTATAGGAGTGCTATATTTATCAATTTATGCAGCTGTTGCCAGACTTCAGGATATCTGAAATGGTCATAAACGAGAAAATCCACAGAAATTGTGCAATATATCCGTAGCTTTACCTAATAAAATACAAAACTAAATACCAAAAAAAGATTAAAAAAATAAAAAACATGGAGACAGGTTGCTGAGTGATCACAGAAGCATAACGTGTGCAGAAAAGGCAAAAGATCATTATAAAGTAAAAGAAAGCAGAATTAAAGAAAAAGAAAAAAAAGCAACCATTGTAGAACAGGTTCCTACAATGAAGTTGGAATGTTCTTGAAATAGAAGCTCCCATGTAAGAGGGAAGTTTGTGGCGTGGCACACCAGCCAGCTACCTAGATACTGGACATTTGAGCATTTACATTTGAATTGTTGTGATTTACATGATCGTACAAACTTAATATCTTGATTTTTGGTTTTGTTTAATCTGATAATGGATCAATGTGCTGTTCTCCATTGTTACAATCCTTGATACATTTGGTGATTTGATTGTAATAGTCTCGTTACTCTTGAACAATCATTGATCATTGAATATTCCAAGAATATTGTTCTTGAATCTGAATATTTTAGATCCTCATTCTTCAATGAAGATGGTGTTCTCTGCTCATGGTAGATGAACATGAAATGTTTTACAGATTGTTTTGGTTCTTTAACTGTATCTTCTCATTGAATACACTTTAGTGGTTTCTGTGTTTTCTTGGAATTTACCAATGACCAAAATCTTTCGTGTGTTGCAGAGGCTCATTAAGCAGCACAACCTCATTGTGCTCTCTGCCTTAGGTATGGGTATGTGTTCTTGAATCTTCCATCTTCCATATTGTAAAATACTAGGTTTCTTAGATTGTGTAGGATTGTATCCTCTAATTCTAAGGCAAATAAGGAACATGGAGCTTGACTCTTTATGCAAAAAATCCAATAGGAGAGGCTGTTTTTTTCAGTACAACCATGAGACATAATTGAATTGTCTTCTTATTTTTGCATGCATGTACTATATAGGTCCCTCAATCCAAGAAGTTATCTGGTTTTCCCAAAAAATCATGTGGTTACGTGTCCACTAAATAATAAGAGGACATGCTACTATTTTTCAATAGAAAGAGCAACAAACTGAACACTTAAATGCTTGTAATTGGGCTGACACACAACCATGCAAGTGTTCCCGACCCAGCCCATAATTTCTGGGTCGCTACACCCACATTTAGTACAAGCTTTTTTGATGAGAATGATACCAATATTAGGCACTTCAGAAGGCAATTTATATACAACATTACACTTCCTAATAATACATATTAACATATTAACACATAATTATATTGTCATTAATTATTTTTATTTTATTTTTCAGATATTTCCGGAGTAGGAGTTTGCTTCTTGTGGATTTTATGCCTGTGAAGAATGTCACTAATTTTTGTTTTTGTACCACGGAGAATGCTGAAGAAAACTTTTAATTTTGATTTGTGTTATTTTGAATTATGAATAACATTATGTATTTAAACATTATATATGTATTATGGAACATTATGTACTGGGTTAAATTTGTTAATGTATCGTTATGAATGCAAGAATATGTTTATTATCGAGAAATTATTATTTCTATACAGAATTTTTTATATTATTATATAATTATTAGGTTTTTTTTAAAAATTGTTTTTCATTGCATACAGGTAATTTTAATATTTTTTAATTAATTTACAACAGGTTTTTTTGTTTTTTTTTGCGACGGCACCAAACCGTCGCAAAAAACATATATTTTATAAGTTTTGATAATTTTTAATAAAAGCCTTTTGCGACAGTACTATTTGCCGTCGCAAATAATCTTTTAGCGACGGCTCATTGTGCTGTCTCAAATAGTTTTTTAGCGACGGCAGGTATCCCCATTGCAATAAAATTATTTAGCGACGGCATTTTTACTGTCTCAAATAACATCTTTAGCGACGGTAACATAGTGCCGCCTTAAAAAATCTCAATTTTTTTCATATTAATGGCGACGAAAAAAATCCGTCGCAAAAAGGCCACTTTGCTGTCCCAAAAAAAGGCGACGGCAACGTGCCGTCGCTAAAACCTTTTTGCGACCCCCTTTGTTGCGACCCCCCACTTGCCGTCACTAAAAGTCATTTGCCGTCGCAAAAAACCTTTTGAGACAAAACTCCTTTGAGTTGTAATTTTATTCGCATTTTTATTTTAGTGAGGCTATGAGTTGTTAGATGCGAATCCAACCCGAATTGTGCCTTTCAGAGAAGTTTGTGATGCTAATGCTTTTAAGATTGCCACTTCGCTGATTATGACGGGGATCGAGCTGCTCGGTCAACTCGCGGAGGTCCAGGGGGCAGCATCCCTTGGCGGGTCCGGGGTAGCGCCACAGCGGGGTCGAGGGGCAGCGCCCCCGAAGCAAAATGCAAAAATGCATTCCAAGTTGCCTATTCGCTCGAGCGGACATTCCCACGCTCGAGCGGAGAATGCTGGGTTTCAGAAGTTTGTCAGGTCTGTAAAAATACTGGAATGTGTGATTTCGCGCTCGAGCGGTTTCTTTAGCGCTCGAGCAGACCTCTGTTATATCACGCGCATATTTTGCTGAAGCCGCTCGAGCGGGATGTTGGGCGCTCGAGCGGACCGTGCGAACACAGTTTTTCGGATTTCAATAAGGATTGGGTTTTCTTCCAAATCTAGGATTACTTTTGGTTTTTCTATAAGTAGTTGGTTTTCTCCCAAAACTAGACTACTCCTGAATTCCTCCAGATCTTCTTTTTGGTTCTTAAGGTTTATATCTGGGGATATTTTGTTAGTTTTCTTTGATGTTTTATTGAGTATTCAAGTCATGGTTTAAAGAGAGTATATCAAATGTTTTGTTTGTTATACACAAGAGAGAGAGAGAGAGAGAGAGAGAGAGTTGTTCTTCGGTGGATTCTAAAGAATTCGAGCCTGAAGCTTCGGTGGATTTTGGAGTGGCTCATCGTAAAGACAATTCCGAGGTGAAAACGGGGTTGGAAGAGGCACGTAGAGGTTGGTTCAATTAGGCGTGGATTCGCTAGGTAATTGAGAGTATACCTGTGTAATTCCTTTAAATCTTCTTAGCCCGTGGTTTTTTAATCACAGTTGGAGGTGTCCAATTATGGTTTTTTCCACGTTAAAATCGTTGTGTTGATTTGTCTTGATTGTTTGATTGGGATTATTATATACTGCTTAAAATTATTATATAATCACAAATCAATATCTAGGGGATTTCTAGATTTTTCAGATTGGTAATTTATTTCTTCAAATCTATGTAATTTTAGTGTATTAATTTAGGGGGAGATTCATATATTTTGAGATTCACAATTATTATAAAATAATAATAATAATAAATAAATAAATAAAAGGGGGCGTGTGTATATTTTGTGCATAATTTTAGGGGGAGTATATACATATTTTTTTTTTGCATTACTTCTTATCTGCACCACCAAAATTTTTTTGAAGACAGAATGTATATAAATAAAAAAAAAAGATTAAAAAAAAGGGGGGGAGGGAGAAGAAATGCTTGTAATTTTATTTCAGAAGAATAAAATTTTACTTGATTACATGTAAGTTTTCAGAAGGCTTTACAGATTTTTTCTGTTTCACTTCTCTTAATAATTTTTCATGAGCCTCTTTTACTTGCTTCTCTTTATTTTCGACTTCTATGAGTCTTGACATTATAACCGTTGCATAATATTGCACCGCATTCTCCAACTGTGCATTTTTCCTTTTTAGCTCTTTCTTCTCCTTACACATATTAACTAGTTGTTGTTTTAACAAGCATACATCATCTCTCCATTACTGATTTTCTTATACTCTTGCTTGTAATCGTTGCGCCATATTAAAAACTGTAGTCATTGTCTGTGCACTAAGAGCCATAGTGTTATTAATAACATCGATATCATTTTGATTACTAATAACACTAGGACCCTCATTTACAGGAATAACATGTGCCTGCACCACTGGTAACCTCTCATTTGCCTGCATTACAGGCACCTTATGCAGGTCCGAACCATTAATGGCTAAGGTAAGGAATGACATGATTACACAAGAAGCTAAAACGATTTTTTTTTTCTCCAACACTTTAATTTTATTTTGTATCAAATCCATACAAATATTGCCATCATCAAAAAGGGAGAAGTTGTTAATCATATTATTTAATTTTGATGATGTCTAAAATATTATTTGCAAAAATTTAGATTTTTTTAATATACATATTCATTGACACAAAATATTAACTGTTTAAAATATATATATTTGTTAAATATTATTTAAATAAAAATATTTTAAAAAACTCTACTATTCACTTTTTGAAAATTTAGGCTGATCACTATACACTTTTTGACAAAATTAAATTTCATTAGTTATATTATTATGACAAAATTGATTGATTGGTTGTAATATCTTGACAAATGTGATATTAATGAGTTGTCTTCTTTTGACAAAAGTGATATATCCAAATGGAGTGGTAGGTTATGTTGAGTTGAAAATCTCTACAAAAAATTAAAAATGGTATATATGATCAGATCTATTATAAATATTACTTAAAGGAATTTTACTATATATGCAAATATTTGATTAGAATATTATATAGAATGCATATAATATAAATAGAATATATCACGTGAGCAATTAAACTTTTTACACTACATTGATTATATCATATCACACTACACTACATTGACTATATCATATTATAATAAAACAAGATGAAAAAGATGGAGTTATATATATATATATATATATGTATACATCTATATAATAAGAGAAGAAGGTTTTTGAAAATGTATAAAATGTATGTGAGATACATTTAGGTTTAAAGGCTCAGATCAATCCTACAAATATATTAAGGGTGCAGATCAATCTGATTCCCCCTGAAACCTTCTCTGCTATCTTTCTCCCACGCCTGCCCAAACACGTCTCTACGACTCCCTCCCTCTCTCCCGCAACTGTCCCTCTTATCTCTCTCTCACTCTTTGTTCTTCTGCTTTAACAGACCTTCTTCCTCCTCAATGATAGGCGAAAGAGAGAGAGCAGCAGCAGCAGCAGAGTCTCAGTGGCCGATGATTCCCAGCAAACATGAAAGTTGACATCATCAATTAGTACACTAGTTAATACATTAATTGGTGCATATAGCATTATTTAAATTAAAAGGCAAAATTAATACAATTAAAATTACAAGAATTAAATTGATATGAGTTAAAACACAAGGACCATAAGTATGATTTTTCCAAAATTATATGTTTGTATAATACCACTCATAAAATAAATGTATGCTTGTTGGTTGCGATGATGGCCGAGGAGCAAATATTAAATATAATATCATTGGTGTTATCATCTATATAATAAGGGAAGAAGGTTTTTGAAAATGTATAAAATGTATGTGAGATACATTTAGGTTTAAAGGCTCAGATCAATCCTACAAATATATTAAGGGTGCAGATCAATCTGATTCCCGCTGAAACCTTCTCTGCTATCTTTCTCCCACGTCTGCCCAAACACGTCTCTACGACTCCCTCCCTCTCTCCCGCAACTGTCCCTCTTATCTCTCTCTCACTCTTTGTTCTTCTGCTTTAACAGACCTTCTTCCTCCTCAATGATAGGCGAAAGAAAGAGAGCAGCAGCAGCAGCAGAGTCTCAGTGGCCGATGATTCCCAGCAAACATGAAAGTTGAATCGGAAGCTAATCCGACGGCCGCCCCATATGAGAAAAGTTTGGTCCCAATCCTCTCTCTCTCTAAAACCCTTGCCATACCCGAAAGTAAAACCTCTCTCTCTCTCTTTTTGTTTTGTGGATTGGATTATCATATTATATAACTCAATTTAAGTTTTTTGGGTTTGTAACAGAAGATTCAGATCTTGTTGCTGAAAAGAAATCAGGCGACCCAACTGACAAAGGTAATCTCTCCCCTGCTTAAATTCGATCACTTTCTCCCTCTACTTCTCTGTCTCTCTCTATTTCTGCATTTCAAAACCCTAGATCTGGATTTCTAGCGATGAACAATGAACAACGCAAGTTAGAGAAAATGGTGGACGAGAAGTATACGAGGCCACAGGGATTGTATCAACATAGAGATGTGAATCATAAGAAGCTTAGGAAGCTCATACTTGACTCTAAGCTCGCTCCGTGCTATCCCGGAGACGAAGAATGTGGATTTCATCTCGAAGAATGCCCAATTTACTTTTTGGTTTGTGTTTCAATTCTCAAGCTATCAAATTATTTGCATTTGGCCCAATTTTCTGTCTGTGTTTCAATTCTGAAGTTGTCATTTTGTTTCCTTTTCAAATTATTTGCATTTGGGTTCTGTTTAGTTTATAGCAAATTGAGTAATGAAATTTTCTTTTTTGGTTTGTGTTTCAATTCTGAAGTTTTCATTTTGTTTGCTTTTTCGAATTATTTTCATTTGGGTTCTGTTTAGTTTATAGCAAATTGAGTAAGCAAAAGGAAATTTGCGGAAAGGAAAGTAAAGTTCATTGGCTTGATGAGGCTAAATTACTGCACGTTACATGGGTTGGGTTGATTTGGAGTGAAAACAAGAAAAAAAAAGTATTAAGTTTTTAAAATTTCATTCGTGGTAGGTAATTGTTCAATGCATGACTGAAGTA